AAGAGAGAGAGAGAGAGAGAGAGAGAGAGAGAGAGAGAGAGAGAGAGAGAGAGAGAGAGAGAGAGAAGGAGAAGAGATAGCAATGACCTGCAACTTGGGCCCCAAGTGCAATCGGCCCCTGTTACGCTCTCGATCCATGATCGACACGACGTTTTGGTTATCCAGAAGAAAGGCCATTCGGACTACAGTAACTGACCTAATGGAGCGCGTGCTCCCCTACCTTTCCTCCTCCTCCTCCTCCTCCCCCTCCTCCTCCTCCTCTTTCTCCTCCTCTTTCTCCTCCTCCTCCTTTTCATTTCGAGGCTCCGGCTGCTCCTCTTATACCACTTCATCGTCCTCCTGCATGTCACGTAACTTCCTCGCCGTCTGCCTCGTCTTATTGTTGACGTCCCTTTTGCATCCTGCCCACAGTGCCATGCCTTCCTCTACCTTTTCTGCGAAGCGGGCATTCAGTTACATGAAGAACGGTCAGGATTGGCCGGATGTCTGCACGGGTCCTCGCACGCGTTTCCAATCGCCCATCAATATTGTTGAGGACAACGTTATCCCCGTTCATCGACTTGGAGATCTGAGGAAGAGAGCTACCTACTCCACCTTCACAGGCGACGTGTCTGTGCGCCACGACGGTTTTACCTTCTCGATCCTCTTCCCCGGGAACAATATCATCCGCCTTCCGCAGTTCCGTCTGTCCAAGTCCTTCAACGGGTCAGCTAATTGGGACTGGGAAACTGCGCACTATGGTCCTGCAGAGGGGTACCAAGATCTCGATCGCCATGACGATGACACGTGGAAGCCCAGGTCGAAGACTTTCAAGCTGGTGGAATGTCACTTTCACTCCGTGTCTGAGACAGAGTTAAATGGCATGCATATGGACTTAGAAATGCACTGTGTTCATTTGCGTCGGGGGTATCCGACCGTCGGAGTGTGGGGGGTGTTCTTCAACAGAACGGGGTCTAAAAATAGCATCAGCGACGAAAGTAACTGCAATCCGCTTCTGGATAAGATCATCCCCGCTCTGGGACAGCTGGCAAGCTCTCCGCCGATGCATCCCGTTTCCGTCGACGTGGGTACATTCTCCCTCGCCCACTTGTTCCCTCAGGACGGAACGTATTTCCACTTTTACCCCGGCAGTTTGACTACCCCTCCTTGCACTGAAGGCCTGCTCTGGTATGTCTTCAAGGAAGCCCTGCCCGTCTGCAAACGTCAGGTTCGCCAGTTTCAGAGGTTCGTGACGAAGTTGAGTGGGATCCCGGCCTTGAACTACAGGGACGTGCAGCCGCTCAACGGGCGAACAGTCTTTTCCTGGGAGGATGGAAAGAACAGGCGACGAGGATAAGACGACCTCGTCGGGGTCTCGGGGGAGTCGGACCGCCTTGAGGCTTGCGCACCTTTCGCCCACTCTCTCTCGAGGATATGCATGATTGAGTTCTGCAACCCTTTTGACTTCGCGCTCTCAACTCTCTCTCTCTCTCGAGCGAGCGAGCGAGCCAGCGAGCGCCTTTGTCCTCCAGGATCCAGCAGGTGTGGTGATTTGACTGCGAAGGTGGGTTGGACAATAATGGATCTGAATCCTATCTTCGAACATCTCCTTCATCCTCATCTCTCTCTCTCTCTCTCTCTCTCTCTCTCTCTCTCTCTCTCTCTCTCTCTCTCTCTCTCTCTCTCTCTCTCTCTCTCTCTCT